CCCAAAAAACCTGGATATTAAATGAGAACTTTCGTCTAAATTTGATCGAATAGTTTCACAGTATTTGGGCACCGAGTTAAACCTGTATATTGATATTAATACAAATAGATTATTTTTATTCATAACAATCTACCCAGTGTTCAATTTATTTGAAATTATTAAGTCAAACCTGTGACAAGTGCAATCCAAATGTAAAGAATATCAAGCATTCAACCACTGAAGATACTGGTAAATGATTGTGAATTTTAAAGAATTGATTAAAGTTCGACACATACAATGCTTGGCGTTGGCTCAGAAGTAAAGTGTTTAGGTATGAAGCCGAGAGTCTTGAGTGTGACCTCCTTTCACGACATGGATGGACATCTCTAAGTGATCTCGTGAGAAGAGACAAGTATATTTGCAAAACTGGTTCTTGGTTTTCGCTATGCAGTCAGATTTAGGATGGCAGTATCAAGTATAAGCCAGTTAAGGTTATCCGTAGACAAACAGGTATAGTTATGACAGAAACAAAGGAATTACCAGATTGTAAGAAATTTCCGAAGATGATGAAATCATCAAAACTTCTGGAAGGTGAATTAACACATTTACTTTTACGACATTAATTTCAAGTAGCGTATTCTATTTATGATCTTGCCCCATCCCATTTTTTGTGTATGATGAATTGTACTACTTATAAAATATCCAGTAATCAGTTTCAATTTTAATAATCTTTTAACATAGTTATATATATATATATATATAATATACCCTTGTGGGCCAGAGTAATTTTACATTGGTTTTCAGGAGAACCAGACACCATCCGGACTTTCACGTAAAAACCCAAACAGTGCAGCTCAATCCCGTTTAGCAGAGGAACCAGACACCGTAAAGGCTTTAACGCTACAATCTGAATAGTACAGCTCAATCCTGTGGCGCAACCACACAGGTATCAAGCACCCTGGTGGACCATTCGCACCATTCATATACACATTCACATCACATGTATAGTTATTCCGATCAATGATCGCGTGATTCAATTATGCACAGCACGAACAGGCCAAAGTTGACCTATCCCGCTTACACGACAGTCAAACTCGTTAATATTAGCAATGGCTACATGCTTTACAATGTCCCAATGACAATGGTCCTCGGGAACACTGACAAGCAACCATCAGTATGAATGAAATAGGTTAACCAGCAAACCAATTTTTGCATGAACAGTCAGCAAAACTTGCCAAAGCAATGCCGAACCGTCCACAATAACAATGGCGAACCTCCAGCCTCATATGAGACCTTGAGCTCTATATAACCATATAGCTTATAGTGCACACAACACATGTATAGGGTAGTAAGCGAAATAGCCGAGCCTGAAGCGTTAGGGCCTAAATAACGCTTAAAACCCATTGTCTGATGTCGGAATACTATAATTAGACCACCAAGATCGTTTTTATCGCATTTGCGAAAATTTCATTTTTCCGACTTTTCAGACCCTGAGTTAGGGGTAGTATCCCTATCTTTTAACATATGTTGTTGTATATTACCAAGTATCTACATAAACTGTCAATGTTCAGTTTATTTTATTGTTATCATAATTGTATATCCCTGAAAAGAAAACTGGTAATAGTTTCCTTCGTTGCTACTGTATTTATTGAACAGTTGTTCTATTGTATATACTTTTCATCTTAGTGTTTCTTCTTATTATGGACTATTATCTGCTATTGTAGTCACATAACAACTGTTAGCTATTATATAGGCTTTTGTATGTTGTTGTAATTAACCTTTAAATATATATATATATATATGTATCCATTTCAGCAATATTCTTTATTTGGTTGATTACTAGTACAGTAAACACCATATATACCTTATGGAATTAAGGTTTGCAAATGATATTCCATATAAATTCACTTATTATTGTTTGTTTGAATCTTCCCACGGATGTTTAGCATTACAGCTGATCAGTCACTTATTAGTATATGTACATCCTGTGAACATTGCCTCGATATAGCCTTAAGTCACAACCATTCTAAGCAAACATGGATAGTGGGTAGCAATCGAATCTAGGACACGCGTCTCGTCCTATTTGGGACACCTCAGCCGGACGTACCTGTACCTCAGAGATGATGTTCACTGCGAGGCTTCAAATCTAGGGTGCAGGTACATCTAGCTAACGAGTCCCAAACAGGACGAAACGCGCGTCTTGAATTCCATTGCTAGACACTATACATCTTTGTATATAATGCCTGGATATTCCATATATTTTCGTAATAATAGTTCGTATTTCATATAAACTAAGCATTTTTGATCCCTGGCTTTTATGAATCAGTTGATCGTGTAATCAGAAGCTTTGATAAGACCTAGTAGTTATTTTTACACTGCACTAAATATAAGCTTGAATTTAAGTTATTAACTACAAAAGTAACTCACCTATTGCTTTGTTGGGCCTCGTGTTACGTATGCCGAAACACTGATTACCACGACGTGCCATCCTGACTAGTCTTGCGGATGGTTGGAAGAAAATTAGGGGCAGCCATACCGAAAAGTGGGATCAACTTATAAAGCCAATAACTTCTAGTGTCAGCCATGTTGGTGGTAGATGCATACTCCTTGTTTGGGGTCTGCACGACTATCGTAACCTGTAGTTGGAGACTCTGGGTAACATGGCTCCGAATCGATCACAATGGTGTAGGTGTAAACAATCTTTGTCTTCTCTTAAACCATGAGATTGCATTACTTTATACTTTTCTGATATGTGGGCGAGAATGATAATGATTGGATTTCTGATTAGTCAGACATGTAGATAATCTGACAGGTATCAGATGAGTTATATATTCCCCTATCCTTATTATTATTACTACTCACTTATTATTGATTGTTTATTGTTGTTGGATTGTGTCGGGTTTTGGTGTGGAAATATATTTACGTTGTGGTCAGGCTATTCATGTGTTCTTGATCTGAGTTGTATTGAACTACTTTAGAATAGGCACTGGAAGGGAATCTAGTGTAGATATTTGGTCTAAGTTGAATTAACATCGCATACGTGTAAATGTGGGAAACCAATCGTCATAACATTAGACGAAGTAAAACCAATCGTTATAACACTTTTTTCTATGAATTAATTCTTTCTCCCTGTATCCTGTCATTCTATTCAATCTACTTTTGATATATTACTACTATTGTAGTAACTACTTCCATGAAGTTGGTGTTCATCTTGTTGTGCTAATAATGTGTGGCAACTTTGACAAATGCATATATGTGCCTGATCCTACATTTTAGATCACTGACTGACTGATTGACCTGTTTTGTATCACTTAAAACCTACTTATGTACAAACTATGATTTTGTTTGTTTTGTAATGCTGTGTGAACATTTAATTAATGCGTATGAACTTATGAGTTTATAAGTCATAGAAGACGTCACCTAATTGATTATCGAGAGATCTCGGATTAATAAGAATTAGGATCCCAATCAAACTATTGATCAAGTGAAGTTCATTGGTCATATTTCAGTAAAGTGAATTAGTTTTAAGTAGACTCAATGTTACCCAATGAAACGGGAAATATAGAACATGTAGTTTTTATACTAATGTGGTGTATGCTACTGATATCGACAGATATAAGTAGTATATATCATCAAACGAAAATGAAATACCTGGTAACAGAAGTTTAAGAAGACTCAGATTCAGTAGAACGTCCTCATTAGTCATCATTAAAGTATTCAGAAAAGTCGTTTGACAAATCAATTTTGTTGTATAGTTTTATCATTCAACTTTAAAGCTACATTTGTGACTTTCTTTTTTAGAGTGTTTTTAATCACATTTTTTAAAATATTCTGTCTCCGCTTAAGCCAAATTGAAACTAGAAGAAACTTTTACACTGTCTAAACAGTATACAAAATTAGTTCATTTGGTTTATTTAACATTTCATATACTTTTGTGGTATGTACTACTGATATTGATAGATATAAGTAGTATATACCATCAATCCAATGTGATATACCTGGTGGTAGAAGGTTAAGAAGATCGAAGAAAAGCGAATGAGAACAAACAATGATTGGTATGGAAATGAAAGAACAATGAATTTTGAGACGATTAATTTATATTTTTCATATGAAATATTCACTGTATGATTCACAGATTTTACGAAGAGATCCAAATACATTTGATTATCCCCACTTATGTTCTCAACACGCAAAAACAAATGCAGAAGACGGCTAGTATGGCAGCAGCGTCAGCGGCAGTAGGTCTCAACATACGCAAAGGGAAAATTAGGATTCTCCGATAGAACACAGCATGCACCAATCGAATTACACTTGAAGGAGAAGATTTGGAAAATACAAATACATTCACATATCCGGACAGCATCATTGATGTGCACGGTGGATCTCATGCAGATGTGAAGGAACGGATCGGAAAAGCAAGAGCAGCACACTTACAACTGAAAAACATCTGGAACTCAAAGCAACTGTCTGTCAATCAACACTAAAATCAGAATTTTCAATACAAATATCAACACAGTTCCACTGTATGGGGTGGAAACCTGGAGGAATACGAAAACCATCATCCAGAATATACAAATGTTCATTAACAGTTGTCTACACAAAACACTTCGGATCCGTTGGTCAGATATTATCATTAACAACCTGTTGTGGGAGAGAACAAACCAGATCCCAGAGGAGGAAGAAATCAGGAAGAAGTGCTGGATGTGGATAGGACACATATTGAGGAAAGCACCCAACTTCGTTAGAAGACAAGCCCTCACATGGAATCCTCAAGACCGAAGGAGAAGAGGAAGAACAAAGAACACCTTATGCCGAGAAATGGAGACAGACATGAAAAGAATGAATAACAATTGGATGGAACTAGAAGGGAAGACCCAGTACAGAGTGGGTTGGAGAATGCTGGTCGGTGGCCTATGCTCCATTGGTAGTAACAGTCTTAAGTAAGTAAATAAGTATGCAACTTGTGTTCTCATTCACTATCTCAGAAAAAGATAATACTTAATAAACCATTTATTGTTAAATCATTTATTATAAAAACGTTTAATGGTGTCATTTGACGAGGTAAGTGTTGCTACATTTGAATTCATACTTGATGATAATGATGATGGTGATGAAAAGATTCGTGATTGTGATATTTCAATAGTATTTTGTAATTTATCAACTGTTTTTCTATTTAAATAAGCACCAATTAATAATTCATAAAATATTGCACCAATAATAGAACCAATATATGGTGCTACAATTGGAATCCAAAAATAATAACGATCTTTTTTGAATGCATCCAAACCTAATTCTATGAAGAAGAGGAAACAAGATAGATTATAAAACCGTGGAGATGCCAGAATTATAAAAGGTTAACAAACATATACTTTATAATCAAAGGCTTTCAAATGCCCGAATACAGCCTAGGGTGCGGTGTGTTGGTTCTTCCTCTCGAAATGCTCTCACATAGCCGCCACGAAATTCCTACTTACTGCCTTCTTGTAGCATTACTGTTGTTTACGAAATTGAGAAGACGAAAAGCGAGTGTACAGCACAGGCTTTCACCGGGTTGGTAGATATGGAGGATCTATCTAGGGCAGTTGGAAAACTCTGATTCCGAAACAATGATGAGCATGGGCTCAAGGGGCCCGAAGGAACAAATAGTGTATGAACCAGTTATTCGTCACCGGCTATCATGGGACTACATCTCCTGATGTTGCTCCACTGCTTTGAAGATCAGACCTTTAGGTCGAACGCTCGGGTTGTGGTCCCCTAAGAACACACCCTGCTTTGGTCTGGACACTCGGGCAGTAGCCAAGTCCTCACACAAATCGAATGATTTATGTGGCGTGTATCTATTTGGTGCCTTCTTGCACCGATATTTGTGTTTAAATAAATAAATGAATAAACTATAATCAGAGAGGGGGGTTTATAGAGACTGCAGTAATTTAATAATTAAATTCATGAGTCAATTAAAGCTAGGCCACCATGGAAAGTCTGGAAACATTGGAAGGCAATTTCATCCTAGTATGGGACTCCTCAGCAGTGCGCATCCCCGATCCCGAATCCAAGACCTATACTTTATATTAAGCATTATTAGTCTTCATCATGAACTGACTTTAGTTAGATAACTATTTAAGTTAAGAAAGAAATAGAAAAACAGGTTTTTCGTCCCACAATATGAACTTTTACAAATAAGAACCCATAGTCCCATAGAGGATAAAACCTAAGAAATTGTTTTCGCAACATAAACGCTTTATACCTTGAAACTATTGAGCTATCATTTGATGATTTACATATGTAACTTCAAATAATTCACAGCATTGTACAAATCAACCTACTGTGGGAAAGAACAAACCAGATCCCAGAGGAGGAAGAAATCAGGAAGAAGCGCTGGATGTGGATAGGACACATATTGAGCAAAGCACCCAACTGCGTCACAAGACAAGCCCTCACATGGAATCCTGAAGGCCAAAGGAGAAGAGAAAGACCAAAGAACACATAGACATGAGAAAAATGAACAAGAATTGGATGGAACTAGCAAAGAAGGCCCAGTACAGAGTGGGTTGGAGAATGTTGGTCGGCGGCCTATGGTCCATTAAGAGTAACAGGCGAAAGTAAGTAAGTAAAGTAAGTATTGTACAAATACCTTTGTATATCTCGTAACTGACATAGTTATACTTTACTAATCATCATCGTTTCACCTTAAAAACTATGGTAGAATCTTCTAGAAATTAATCCAATACTACAATCATATAGTTACCTAATTCAACTTGGTTAACAGCAATTGTTTAATTTAAATCAATATATTCTTTAAATTATGTAATTCAGTAATCTATACAAACATCCTGTAACTATATATATATATATATCATTTACTGATGAATGATATTTCTCTGTGGTGTCAGTTAATTTATTGATTTTGTAATCTATGTACACAATACTAGATTATTGATTAATTTCACAGGTTGAAATCATGAGTCAATTGAAGCTAGACCATCATGGAAAACCTGGAAGCACTAGACGGCCCTTCCGTCCTAGTATGGGACTCGTCAGCAGTGCGCATCCACAACCCTGCACTCCGCGAGGCTCGAACCCAGGACTCGAACCCATTCTGATATTGATTAATTATTAGTTCCGTTTACTCACATTTATTGATTAACCGAATATCGAATATGTTATGTAATTTATGATTATTATTGATATTACCGAAGATGTAGTCCAATAAGTAAGTGATGAATAAATCAGTCTTCTTCTACAACCATGCTTTTCTCCCTGAATTCTTATTCCGTTGTGATGAATAACAAATGAAAATAGTTGCATTATGGTGTATGTTATTGATGTCGACAGATAGAAGTGAAACTTTTTGTGTCAGAAGGTTAAAAATAAGATCAAAGACAAGAGACTAAGAACAAAGAATGATCTGTATGGTAACCAAGGGATAACGTAGTCTGAGACGATTGATTGACATGTATTGTATAGTTCTTAGATTTTACTAAGACATTCTGTAATTTTACATTTAAATACATCCGATTGTTCTCACTTGTCTTTTTTTTTGTTCACCACAGTTTCAGTAGCTAAACTCAGCGCTTAACTCAAATCATAACCTTGATAAATCAGTCTTGTTCCAATTCATTTCAATAATGATTCATAAATGGAATATTTTCATAATCTAACTTCATCTACAACACAGAAAACTCACAATAGATAATGGATCCAAGGTAGAAAAGGAATCATACTATTATTTCTTTTCTTGAATTTATCCCCAAAAGTTCATACAAATAGATGAATACTCTTTTATTATCAACAGCTTACTCATTAATTTGGTTTATAAAATGTAAATCACGAAAGTAATTACACATAGAGTTATACTACTGATAAGTATAATAAGTAGTACATTATAGAACTCTTAATTTTATTCAAATGTCTTTTATTATTTAGTTAATTTGATGTTAAACAATATTGTCTAAATCACTAAGTTACTATATATATTTCAATCCTAAGGAATATCACGAATAAGCAGTTCATTGAACTCATGCATTTTTGGTCATAATCTTTCTACTTACTACAAATTTCGAAATGTTCAACTTGATAGTTGAATTCATGGGTCAATTGAAGTTAGACCACCATGGAAAACGTGGAAGCATTGTGCGAACCCACGACCTATCGGTCTCGCATGTGAGCGCTTAACCACCTGACCACTGGGCTTGCATCCAATGGTGTTAATGTTTAACTTTAACTAATCCATGAAGTTGCTCCACCGTCCACCATTGTCATCAGTGAATTACGATCTCACAACAGACCCAGTTGAACTCCACTGGTCACGGCATATGATGATTATAATCAGAAATGGGTTTTGTGGATATTATAGTAATTTAGTAGTTTAATTCATGAGTCAATTGAAGTTAGACCTTCATGGAAAACCTGGAAGCACTAAACGGCGGCTTCGTTCATGAACCTTGTTGTTTCCTTGATAATGACATTTGATGATCAATATCTCTTGTTAATGACGGATTTAAGCTTTTGTTTCAATAAAAGGCTATTTGATTCACCTCTAAATGGCAAGGTGATGTAAACAGGCTTTTTCTCTGTCAAAGCTATAATAGGTCACACTGTACCATGAACTTTTCATCTATTTATGAATTTAAGAGGATTGTCATTTTCCATTAATGTTTTGTGTAGCAACCTAACATTATTTGTGGCGTCATTTGTACAAATACGATCAAGCCTGTTAAATAGGCACCTTATCAAACCCTGTTTGTATTGCACGGAACAATAACTATAATAACCAAGGTATTGACCTGTCCACGTTGATTTTTTAAAAATGAATCGTGTGATTGAGACATTTTCTCCATCTAATTAGAAGTATATCTAAGAAAGGGAAGCTGGTTGTTCTTCTTCACTTCACATGAAAGACTAATGTGGTTTTGGAGAGTGTTATGTTTATTCAATTAACATTTCCTATATCAACATAGTTCTGATAATCTGCTTCTTCTTATTACACTATTGAAATTTATTAAAGGGATTAATTGCTTGAAATTTCTAATATTTTCTTCATAACTTTTCTGCATATATATATATTCTTCCTGATGTTCCAGATTGTCCGGATGTTCCGTGTACCTATAAAAATTGTTGCTCTGGTTGTCAGAAGGGGTGTCAGCCTCGCAATTTCCAAAGGAAATCGGTTTTCACCTTCAGTCGTCACAACTCTTCTGAATGAAGACATTCTAAATCTGAGGGTAGTGTCGAAATGGTTTGAATTGTTTATTCTAGTTAGTGTTTTTTAAGAGAGTTAGTTTTATACGAGATGAGGTCGGTAACCCCATCCCTAACCCTCCTTCTTCATTGGGGCTTGGGATCGTGTTGGGATACTCAGAAGAATATCCCAAAAACAATTATCCGGTTAAGTCTAACGCTACCCTTGAACGTTAAATGGTGTCATTTCCCTATTGGTCGTTTCCCTACTGATCAATATTTATTTCGCGTGTCATTTTCCTATTGGTCAATATTATTGAACGTGTCATCTTTCTGTTGGTCAATATTTATAGTAATCCTAACTGTATAAATATGCATTTGTTTGTAAATCATTATTCTGCTGCTCCTGACCCCATAAACGATTTTTCATCTACGGTTCGTGTTCTGATATATTGGAGATTGGGAACAGTATTGGGGTCGAACTGGGATATCTGAAGCTTGTCAATTGGTAGAATTTAGAGTAGCCAACTCGCGATCCACAATAAATTTGGCGACGGAGATTTAGCAACAAGTTGGTGATTAACTATGGATCCAGCCAAATTAGAGAAATTGTTCGAACAGCAGCTGAAGCTGATGGAGATGCTTACTCAGACGCACATATCTTCTCGAGTCCCAACTGCACCGGCAATTCCTGAATCAGTTGATGGTATTACCAGTGGTATTTCAGAATTTCTTTATGATCCTGATGCCAACATTACATTTGATACCTGGTTCAGACGTTATGAAGACCTTTTCAAAGTTGACTTTGTTGACAGAGATGATTCGTGGAAGGTGCGTCTTCTTCTCCGTAAACTTGGTCCATCCGAGCTGGATAAGTATTGCAACTTCATTCTACCGCAGAACCCACGCGACCGTTCATTCGACGCCACTATTCAGTCCCTTAGCCAACTTTTTGGTGATCATCACTCACTCTTCAGTACCCGATATCGCTGCTTAAAACTGGTCATGAATGAATCTGATGACTTCCTGACCCACGTCGGCGTTGTTAACCGTGAGTGCGAACGGTTCAAGCTCAGATCCCTCACTGAAGACCAATTCAAGTCCCTAGTACTCATA